ATTTAGAGGATCAATCCAAGTGATCCAATATCTAACTCTAGGAGTTGTAGAATAAGAACCAAAATATCAGAAGAGGAGAAAACATCAAAAAATAATACAAAGTAATTTCTTTGATCTGAAAGACGTATGTTTTCAAATCAAAAGGGCCCACTGAGTGCCCAGCACAAGGGATGAAAAATGACCCCACTGAGGCACTTCATCATGAAGTTATAGCACCCCAGAGAGAAAGAGGAGGTCCTAAGAGCTGACATGTGGCTCTCACTTCTGCCCTCAGCTGGGCTGGGTCCTCCAGGGTCCAGGCCTGCCTAGGTCAACTGCTTCAGACAGTGAACCTGACTTTTGCTGGTCAGGGCTGTGCTGGTAGCCTGGCTGTTGGGATTGAGAGAGTGGGTGTGGGGTCTAACCTCTGTTCATAGACTTCTAACCAGGCTTCCTCTTTGCAGCTCCATTTCTAAAATGCACCTGCCTACAGAGGTACCTTGTTCCTGTAAATCCTGAGCCTTTGTGGAGATGGTGGCATGGATCAGCTCACTCCTTACTGTTCCTCCTCTCTTCTCTCTGAACCCCTGCCCTGCCAGCAGGCTACAACTTTTTCTGTACTGTTCCATTAGTTAACACTCCCCCTTTACCTTCCAAAATGTATGGTTGACAACTTTCATCTGCTGTTATCTTCTCCCTCGTTCTCTTTGTCCTTGAAGATTTGTGGGGATTTTTTGTTTAGCTTTTTTTGTTTTTTTGCTTGTTTTATTTTAATTTCTTTACAGGCATTTCAGTGAGGTTTTGGAAGGGAGCTAAGTGTATGTTTCATATCTTCCATGTTTAAATGGAAGTTAATTTGCTGTGTTAATCATTAATTTGGGTATAGATTTTCTTTACCTAAGGTTTATTTGGAAATGAAAGTAAGAAAACAAAATTTAGTATGTCGAAAATAGTTTCTTCTTTAACATCTTCCTTGACTACTGTCACTCCAATTGGCTTGTTTCTACCTTCTCTGAAATACTGTGGCCCTCGAAGACTCCTGCTCAATTCAGCAATGAATTCTATACTGTTTCGGGTCTTACTCTGAACACCTAATGTGTGCCTTGTCACCCAACTAGATTTTGTTGCTTGTGAACATAGGGTGATGTGTTAGTCTGCTTATGTTTTTCCTATGGCTCCTGATGGATCTGAGTTCAGTAGACACTTGCTGATCAAAGTATGCTACTCAAATTTTTATTCCTTTGCTTTTATATGTGTTAGATGTGATTCTATCTCAGGTCCTCTCAGCGTATTGCTTGGAGATGAGTAGGAAGGAGTCAATATAATGAGTAGACTTTGGGAATAATGTTAGGTTAAAAATGTCATTGGCTTTACAGCTTCAAAAGTATTTTATTGAAATTGCAAATTTTCAGTTGTATTTAGAAAGAGGAGAAATGGAGATCTGACTAGTCATTATATTGAGGAAGGGGAAATCTGGAACTTGAGTTTTTTAGACTTCTGTAGTAGCCTCTTTTACTGTGTGTTTGCTTAATGACTGTTACCTGTAACCGGGTATTTTCATGTTTTATTTTCTGCTCTTCTTAGCATAGGATAGCTTCAACTATTCAGAGAATGCCTTTCTAGTATAAGTAACAATGCTGTCATTTTCTCTAAAGTCACCTTTTTTATTAAAGAAACTCTTTAATAGTTCCCCATATTCTGTAGTTATGCATTTCTGTGAGTGCTTACCAAGCCAGCACAGTGTTTAATAAATTATTGAACTTTGAAGAACCTTTGAGAAGCGAGGGCTTTATGTGACTGAGCAGCAGACATGAAAAAACGCTATCCTCCAGAGTATCTAACAGACAGAAATAGAGGCTTGATCAGACAATATAAGCACCGAGTGAATGATGGTAATACCATGAAATATTTACACTGAAGAGCCCGCTAGGGTGTGGGAGTAGGGGCGGGGGGGAGGGTTTATCATTTTGGGTTGAGCCTGATGCCATACAACTCACCACTCTATGATCTTAAAAGCAAAAAGAAAGACAAAAAGAGAGAGAAAGAAAGGAAGAAAGGAAAAGGAAGATAAAGAAGGGAAAGAAGAGTATTGATTTGGTGATATTTTGTTGTTTGCAGTAGCTTTTCACAGAAGCAAGGCTCCTTTTGTAGACAGTAACCTTACTAAGAGCCAGTTTTAATCAGTCCTTAAAAGAGACTAGAAAGTCATGGTTTCTTGCTGCTACAAGTTTAAAGTTTTAATTTAATCACATCTCATGATTTAACATGCCTTACAAGCCTTCATTTTATTATCTGTAAAAATAGAGACTTGAATAGCAAACAACTAAATAGCCTAATAGGTTGTTGCTTTCAAATAAAATATGTGATTTATTTATTTTTTCATGGAATGCTATTTTAGATTGGCTTGTGGTAAATTTATTTAATAATGATCCGTAGAGAAAATAATGGAAGAAGTGTCTGGATTACTTAAGAGAGGTTTGGAAGATATGTATCTGAGCTGATATATTTAGAGAATTTCTAATATCTTCCAGTATGGAAAAGGGCTAAAATGAACATGCCAGACCAATTTGTTTTGCCCCTCTTCCTGGTATTTTGTATGCAGATTTTTCTTTTAGTGATAAATATTTTTAGCTTTCATGGTGTTATCTAGTATTATTGAAAACATTTATTGTTGATGATGAATAAAGGTTAAGAAATAATTTGATTTATTAAATTTAATTTTTTTCATGATTTATATAAAAAACCCACAGATTGTATTTGGGAGGTGTTTTAATGTTTTTGCTTTTGCTTTTTAGTGATAGTAGAAAGAATTGAATTATGTATTAATAGGGCAGTTCAGATTCACCATCGACATTGGCCCTTCAAAGATAACCTGGCTTTGTGGGCTTTCGTATCTGTCATGAGCTCCCTGGATGTTTGATATCTGCTAGGCTAACCTAGGTTATTTGTCCCCATGGTCACATTGACCTAAAATGACAGGTTTCTGTCACGTGTAAAGTCAAGGTAATAATGTTGGAAGGGAAACTTTGGTGAGACTCTCCTTTGTAACTGTAATGTTTTGTCTGTAGATTATAAGTAAGGGAACTTTTAACGGAGTTTCCTATTTGTAAGGCAGGAACCATGGCATACAAAGGAGTTTGTGGTCTAAGGGCCCAATATCACTGAAATGTGATATGGGTCTATTTGTGAAAGCATGTATTAATCCCCAAATTGAAACAGTAGAAGTAAGATTACATTGGTATGTTTGTTATTTTTGTTGCTAAAATGATGACTTGGAAAGAATTGGGATTTTAGGGTGTGGATTTAAATTCTGCATCTGCTGCTCACTTGTTTGACTTCTAAGTCACAGGCCTAAGACTCAGTTTTGTCATCTCTAACAATGGGGCTAATGATAGTTTACTTTCTCAGTAAAAAAGCTTCTAAGCATTCAGCACAATACCCAGCAGGTGGGAGGTAGTCGATAAATATTAGCTTGTTTCCCCTTCGTTTTCAGTTTGATCAAAAAAGCTTCATCTAGGAAGTGAGACTTTTGGAAGCTCTTGATTGATGGCTGGAGGGAGGCAGTGAACCAGAAGGGCACCCCGGGCCTGTGGACCGCTCCATGAGATTGGTGAAAAGGTTGTGACGGACAGATATGGAAAGGAAGGATTGAATTCAGATTTGTAGAGGCAAATGTGATGTTGGTGATTTGAGACATCATCTGAACTTCCACTGTCCTTATTTACTGCTCAGAATTGGAGTAGAGAGCATATGCCAAGTTGAGAATTTATTTCTTCCTGCTGTCTTCTTGAAGATCTCTTTTCAAATGCAAATGTTAGAAATGTTTGATCTGATATAGGGCAAATCAAGGGTTTATCTGTTCTTAAATTCTGTCTCTGCCCATAGTACTTTGAGAACACATTGCTGATATTTTTAGCATGAATGGTATCAATAACAGATTTCCAGGTACTGCCCATGTATTCATTCAGCAAATATTAAGGGAGGCCTATTATATGCTCAGTGCTGTACTGTACTCTGGGGAGTCAGTGGTGACAGACAGACCAAAGTCCCTCCTTTCATGGAGGTTAACATTCTGTTAGAGGAAGAAAGGCAGTAAACAATATTTAAGATGATAAATAAATAAGACCATGTCTAATAGTGATAAACAGTATGGTGTGATAATGACTGAGAGGAGGGGGCCACTGTAGATAGAAAGGTATGGGGGCTTTTGATGTGGGATCTGAAGGATAACGAGGGTATTCATTCTAGCTGCAGGGACAAGGCTCCAAGGTGCTGATAAGCTTTGCATGTGGGAGGAACAGAGAAGGTCAGTGGCCAGAACTTAAGGAGAAAGAGAAAAAAGGGAGAAGGAATGAGGCCAGATCATGTTAGGGCCTTTAGGCTATGGTAAAGATTTAGGTTTTATTTCAAGCCTAAGGGAACTCATTGGAGGGTTTTAAGGTGGAGACTATGTGTGTGTAGTGACCACATCCCATTTGCATTTTTAAACATCACTCTGGCTGCCATGTGGGCAATATTGGAGGGCCAGAGCAGAATTAGGGAGAAAAATCAGGAGGAAAGATATGCTGATGGCTTGGCCCAGGTGGAGCTTATGGAGTTGGAGAGAAGGGGAAGGATTTAGGATATATTTTAGAGGCAAAGCTGACAGCGTTTGAAAGAACAGAGGAATCAATCAAGGATAACTCCCTCATTTTTAGCTTGATGGACCGGATTGTGACCATTTACTGAGATCAGAAGACTGAGGAAGCAGCACGTGTGGATGTGAAATCAGGTGTCCTCCTTTGGACATTCACGCATCTGGTGCCTTTTGGCATCCGAGGGGCTGTCAGTTAGGCTGTTGGGTAGGGAGGATCTGGAGGTCGGAGGGGAAATAGAAATTGGGAGTCATGAGCATAGAGCTGATGGATTTAAACCTTGGAACTCCTCTGTTCACGAATTGTTGTTCCTTGTAATGAATCTCTAGGCCCAGCTTTCCTGAGCTAAAGCATCATTCCTTCACCTTTCCTGTCTCTGGGTTGCAGTGCCAGACTGTCTCCAAGCCCAACAAATGTGTTGCTTCCAGGCAAAAACAGAAGATGACACACGCCATGAGCCAGATTTTCCATGACAGACTTGTAAGGAACAAGATAATCTCATTGTTCTTCCTGCTACTTAAAATAAAGGTAATATTGATTTTATAGTAGCAGTTCAGGTCCTAAGGCATGATATTGATTAAGCGTCTGATGAGAATTTGCAGGGTAGCCTTCTAGACCTACAGCTACAGGGCATCTCCCCACTGGGTCAGGCCTCTGTGCTGACCTCCACTGATGTAAGTGGTGTTTTTCTTAGGAATTCTTGGCCCTGTTTAGTCTAGGCACTGTCCAGAAGCATTTATTTTACCTGATGGATGACTCAATCCAGCCTATTACCTTAATCTGACCTTAAACATGGGAACTCTTTTGTTCTTAATAAATATGAAAACTAATTTTGATACTGTTTAGAATTATTTTCTTATCAGTAGCAGTGGATTTTACGTTAAATCTTTTGCTGTCAAACTTCCTATTAAACTGCTATAATCTGACTTGCGTCTTTCTTCTTTTTTCAATGCTACTTTTGAGGAAGACTCATTTTATGGATTTGTTTTTTCTTTAAACAGGGGAGGGTTCCTCTTTTAAATGTGCCATCATTAAGCCCATGGAACTCCTCAATCTTACGGTTGCATAAGGTTAATTTCCTTGTGGTTATTGTCATATGATGCATTCAGCATATTCTGTTTACAGCTTAGGTTTTATAACATTTGCGTGTCAGGTTCTGAGGATATTTTGAACAATTTAACAACAGTCAAGGGATACATTGTTTACTGGCCTAAAGTAGATAAACAATTCCCCAGAAATCATCCAAACATAACAGTTTCATATAAAAAGTTTTGGCTTTCTACTGAAGTAAGACTCATGTATTTTCCCCGTGTCTAGAAAATTTTGAGTGGACTGTTCATGGGGTTTATGTGAGGTTTAAATGAGTTAATACAGGCTAAGGCACTTAGTATAGTGCCTGACATAGTAAATGCTTAACTCATGGTAGCTATTATTAGCTGCTGTGATGATGACTTAGCTGCAACTCCTTTTCTTTCAGCTACAACAGCCAGCACAGGCCTAGGTACTCAGTATAATATTTAGGTAGATGCTCTGTGTCTGACTGATGTCTCCAACATTTAAGATTTCCTTTCAAACTTGCAACATCATAGCCAATTTTATGTCTTTACTAAAATGGTCTAAGTACCTGACATCCTTTGATCCTTCACATGGTTGCTCTCAAAAGGGGCTGCATGAATTTTGACAGTTTCCATATCTGCCTGTCTTCTTTGTTAGCTGCCAGGTAGAGCTCAGTCTTCTCAGTGTCAACTTAAAAAGCAAATTTGCCTGCTATTTTATCTCAAAATGAGTTTGTTTGTGAATAGCGAAAAGAATTCAATTCAGGATGTGCATGCTATGGGAAACCAAAGGCAAATCCTGCAAACAAAGCAGGGGAGCTGCTTTTGTAGAGAAAAAGAGGGAGTAGAGAGGGCTCTTCTAAAGGAAACTCCATAGGGGGCAGTAACAGTTCAGGGAGGCAACAGCTTCTTAGTGGCTGAGCTGTGGTTTTCTCATTGGCTGAGCTGTTGCTGGGTAGGGAGAGAAATCTTCCTTCAGTAGTAAAGTAGTTTTACTCCCTGTCCAAGATACAAGCACCCTCTCTTCCTGTTTGGTGTAGTTGAGGATGTATGATAGGGCATGAGAGCTCCCCCTACGGGCCTTCCTAACTCCACTTTAATTAAGGTTTCTTTTATTAATTTCCACAACAGTTAGAAGATTTAATAAGTGTTAGCAGTCCTAGTACAGTACTGGCCACAGAATAAGTAAATGCCCTTAGACTCGATGTCATGACTGCTGCCTTTAGGGAGACAGTATGGGAGGTAGGGTTGTGCTCCTTTTGAGGTAGAAGGTGAAATAGTTATTTCTTATCCTGGTAGATGATACCAAAGGGATCTTATGCTTCTTTTAAATTCTCTGGTTGTTGCACAAAGGGGCAACTCTGTGCAGCAGAACGTTGGTGGGATGGGTAGGGAACTTCGTAAGTGGAGAAGTGGCCTCTGTTTGGCTCATGAGCACAGAGTCATTTGGTGGCTGGTTTATGAGTCATCTGAAATATGCATTTAATCTAGACTTGTGGCCTGCTGGTGAGGCCGCTGCTTTTTTATGATCTCAAATGTCTTGTCCATGTCAAAACTTGCCTTGTTTCTTTGTGTACTTTGAATCAGGCAAATGTTCACGACCACATTTGGAATTCTTCCTCAAGTGTGCACTTGGTCACATCACCCCTGACTGCCACCAGTACATGACTGTTTATTTTGGATGTCCTTTTCTGATGTTCAGCTAATTTAACCCACAATGAAGTTAATCCTTGCTTCTTTGGAAAAGTACAGATTTACTTATTAGCTTTCAGAGATATTTGCATTTTTGTGAAAGTGAATATATAATTCCACTGACTTTTGGACCCATCTACCCACATATGCAGTGGATGCCTTTTTAAAGTCAGAATTTAGATAGAGCAAATCATAACTGTCCTGAGTTATCTGAAGTTCTCTTTAAGGTTAATAATGAACTTGTATGTGACAAACATGGGGAAGTAGTGTTGAATATTCTGTTACGACCATTTATCTTGCCACCTTGTGGGTAAGAGAAAAGACAATTAAGTTACTTTGGAATTCAAGTTTTTACCTCTTTGTCCACATTTATAGTATACTGACTAAAAGCAAGGATGCCACATCCGTACTACTTGGTCTTGAGTCCTGGCTCTACCACTTACTGGTTATGTAACCTTGGGCAAGTCACTTAATGTTCATAAAATGTAGCTTTATATCAGCTTTGAAAGTCATTACATTTAGTATTCATAAAATGTTATTACATTTGAAATTAATTTGTAAGTTGGATTTTCTGTTTTCTCAAGAATTCCCAAATACACCCAGTAATTGCTGAGAAATTACAGTCCATCAGAAATGAGTTTCTCAAAGCCAAATAAATTCAAATGCAAAATTATAAAAATCCACTCTAATTTTTTCTGTTGCTAAGAAACCTTTTAATGTGAAATGTGGGTACAATTTAATATGTTTGTTTTGGTGTTGAGTGGGGCCTGCAAAAGTAGCAGTGATCATGGCTTACAAAGGACTTAAACAGTCCTGTTGTTGCGCCTTCATATATACAGACACATTTAAAAAAAATTATTTTATTGAGGTCATAATAGTTTATAACATTGTGAAATTTCACTTGTGCATTCTTATTTGTTAATCACCGTATATATGTGCCCCTTTATCCCTTGTGCTCACCCCCTAACCCCCTTCCCCTCTGCTAACCACTAACCTGTTCTCTTCGTCCATGTATTTGTTTATCTTCCACATAGGAGTGAAGTCATGTAGTGTTTGTCTTTCTCTATACAGACACGTTTTGATTGCTTTGAAAAGGCGTATGATGGGGGTGACTAAACATATTTTGCATGTTGAGCTCAGATGTGATCCTCCTTAGGCTCCTCTTTTTTTCCCCCCTTTGCCCCTCTTAGTTTCCAGTAAAATATTTGTTGCTGTGATATCTAAGACATAAATTACTCTGCTTTTAATACCCTGGGTTCTTAGTCTTGGAGTTGCTCGAGAAGAAAAGTGCCCTCTCTTTTTGCCTGTCCTGTTTGAAGGTGAGGGTCTGATTGGCCTTCCTTTTGAGTCGTCCCTGGCCTCTTGATTTGGTTTCCTCTTCCTGAATTCTCCTCTTGTCCTAAAGTGAGGTGCTTCTGAATGGGTGTTTGGGAGATGAACTTGCAAAAACCGCTTCTTACGATGAATCTTGTCAAGGGTTATTTAATTACAGTAGCTTTTGGTTCTTCTGTTTTTGCTCAGTCCTGCCAGTTGGAATTTGGTTTGCTGATTACATAAGCAATACGTCCAGAATAGCTCTGAAGGGACATTGATGAAGGCTGGGTTTATGGCATAGACTTTCTTGAAAGGAATAGGCAAAATAAGAAATATGACAATTGCTTCTGATCAAGCACTGCAGGAATCCCTGAAAGTGGAGTGTGGGGAATTTCCAGAGCGGGAAGGGAGTGGGGAGGGAACTAATATTTATTGTTCCTCCTACAGTCATCGCCGCCTCAGTACATGGCAACTTCATCCTTCCAGTTGCTCAGGCCAAAAATCTTAGAGCCTTCCTTGACTCTTCCTTTCATAGTCCACATCTCGTCTAGTAGCAAATTCTGAGGCCTTTATCTTCAGAATATATTTAGATTCCACCCATTTCTCACAACCACTACATCTGCCATTCTTCTCCAAGCTACTAGCATCTCTCTCCTGGATCACTGCAGTTTCTTCTTAACAAGTCTCCCTGCTTCTCTCCTTGCCTCTCTCTATATGTAGCAACCACAGCGAATCTTTACAAAAAACCTCAGATCATGTCATTCCTCTGCGCAACCCTTCCTTTGGGTCATTAAAATGTTAAACAGAGTTACCATATAATCCAGCAGTTCTCCTCCTAGTTACCCAAAAGCAGTGAAAACATATGCCAACAACACTTGTCCACGAGTTTTTATGGCAGCATTATTCACATAGCCAAAAAGTAAAAACGACCTGAATGTCCATCAGATAATGAATCAGAGTGGTATAGCCATATAATGGAGTATTATTTGGCAGTAAAAAGGATGAAGTACTGATACATGCTACAACATGGATGAATTTTGAAAACATTTGTTAAGTGAAAGAAGCCAGTGACAAAAGACTACGTATTATATAATTTCATATCCAGAATAAGCAAATCCAGAGAGACAGAAAGTAGATTAGTGGTTGCCAGGAGCGGGAGAAAGAGGTATGAGGAGTGACTGCTAATGGCTACAGGGTTTCTTTTTGGTGTAATGAAAATGTTGTGAAATTAAGTTGTGGTGATGATTGCACAACTCTGTGAATATACATTCTGAATTGTCTACTTTAAAAGGGTGAATTGTATGGTATGTGAATTATATCTCAATAAAGCTGCTACTAAAAAACCCAACCCTTTTGGCTTTCTCTCTGATCTATCCCCCTGCATCCTCTCTTACTTCCTCTCCGACTACACTCCGCCTCCTTCTTTCTAACCCATCCAGACTGGCCTCAAACAAGGGAAGTGATTCC